AATAACAATAACAATAACAATAACAATAACAACAACAATAACAACAACAATAACAATAATAACGATAACAACAACAACAATAATAATAATAATTATAATTATAATTATAATTGTAAAATAATACTTTTTTATTTATTAAAAAATGTTTTAATATAATATATAACTGTTTTATATAATATATTTTTTAATAATAATTTGTTTTATGCCGAATTATGATTTTTTTTCTATTAACTAATTTATTTGTTTATTTTTAGAAATTATTGTTTTTTTAATCTTAATGTAGATTTTTCAAGTCAATTTAGTTCCATTTTGAAATAGTCTAACTTCAGTCTAACTAGTCTAACTAATCTAACTAATTTAATTTCAATTTTGAACTTTGAAATTTATTTGAAATTTTTATTATTACATTTGAATTTATCTTTTTATTGGATAAATATTTGTATGGATTTATTACTATTAATTTTTATCTTTCATTTTCTAAGCAATAATTGTAGACAATTTAAGTGATTTTGAAGATTTCTTAAGACTACGACTGAATTTTTATATGATGAGAGAATAGTAGAACAGCATCATCTGCAAATGTTACGATGGTAATTTTAAAATTATCATCTTTAAAATTATTATTTCGTTATTAAAATGTCAATTGTAAATATAGAATGTAGAAATAATTCTAAGATATTTCTGAATTTATCTAGAAAATAATTTAAAAGTGAATCGTTTTATTTCATTTTCAGAAAATATCTTTCAGAGAAGTATGAATTTAGAATAAGGTAATAATGATTCAGGATTTTTTTCCAATTTGTATATCTATTTTTTCAAATGCCTATTGGATGTATAAGAAGAATACTGTTACATTTCTTTATTCTCAAGATTTTCTAATATTTTATGAACTATTTTTGGCACTATTGTATGATTAAATTTTAAACTAAAATTAAATTAGCACTCTGGGAATAAGTCTTTCAAAAAATTTGTATCTTTTAGCCTTTTAGAAATATCTTAAATATCTTATCTCTTATCTTATTAATAATTGGAAATTTATCAGTGGATATGAGATAATTTTTATGATTTATCTGATTTTGTTAGTATGATTTAGATATATTTCTATTGTACAAGGTATTGTATGCAACATATTATTACAAATAGTGATTAGCATGAATTATGTTTTTAAAATATTTATTTATTAGATAATTATTTTAGAATTTTACCAACTATTAGATCATGAAAATTAATATTTTTTTATTTCCTTCTATATTTTGACCGATGATAAGAATTTTATCAATAGTGATTCTTAAGAGAGAATATTAAGAAAATTAATATTAAAAAGAGTTATTTATGCAAGATCATCCACGAACATATAAACCTTTTTTCTAAGCAGATCTAGTTGTTGTTAACTTTCTTTATTAATTTATAGATTTTTTTTAATTTTTTTATAATTTTCATTTAGATTGTGTAATTTAAATTGAATGATCATATAATGATAGATTTAAGATAAAATGCTTAAATAAATAATTTCTTAATTTGAGTAAGGCTATCCGGAGTTATATTAATTTGTTTAGAAATTTTTGCTTATCTTAAATGTTTTCT